TAAAATTAAAAACGGTACGTAGAAGTTCAATGAACAAATATAATGTCTAAATACGGAAATACCTAGATAATATTTACCATTTTTCACTGCGTAAATCACTCTGATGATAATAGACCAGGGTCTGATACTGAGTTAAATTTGAAAGGTAAAAAGTAAGAGACCAGAGTCTATAACATTATTTATATCATACTATATAATATACAATATATGATGTCGCGTACAAGACCCCATCTTAGCAATAGCCTCCTTCCTTACAGGATCTAAATCGGTTTTTTGATGGTTTAAGAGACCCCGGCATAAACTAGATATCAGAATAGAAATTTGTCGTGTAACTTGCCAGAATTTTGATTGGTGCTGTAAACCAGTAAACGGACATGATTTGGAGAATTATAGTAATGTCCTCCGCTATCGCTACGCTTCGGACAATTACATTTTAAAAAAATAAATCTCGCTTCGAGTATTTTGTTGTCATAACAGATTAATTCTTCGATCATTGAATCCTATATACAAAATAAAGCCCAGATTATGTCTGTATCACTGTTGTCATGATTATCTGAACTCTATGTAGCATCATTCGCTACAACTATTATTAAATTTTTTAACAATAATAAATAAAAAATTGTAGCTGATAGATTACTGGTGATGAAACTTGCGGGGGGTTATAAAATGAGAGCGGTTAATTGTTACATACATCAGCTATAAAAAAGTGATGCATAATTATTTTTCTTTAATATAGCGCGATGTGCGACAATTTAAGCAGCTTCTTTTCTAGCCCCAGTAAGTCCAATCACTAGAAAGATTTTACGTATTAATTAAAGGTTAAAAAAATTGTTGACCAATATATATATAAAATATAAAATGACACAGTTGGAAAATGAACTTTAACCATTGCTGTCATCAACAGGTGTAAAGTCATAATTTAAATGCAGAGTGGCAAATTGTATGAGTTACTGTAATTTGTACTACATTGACCCAGATCAATGAATCAAATTTCGTAACACTTTATAAGTTAATATAAATAAAAATCATTTTATAAATCATATATTTATTTCATGTATTTTTTAACGTTAATCGCGCGTATCTGATAATCCTATACTTACGGGCTATATATGTATATTGGACACAAAAATGGCTTCTAATGAAAATTCAAGCTTAATATCTAAATTAATGAGGTAATACATTTTAGATGTTTTTCTTGAAACGTACAAAAAAATTCAAATATTACTAAATGAATGCATGATTAATTGTAAATTCTTAATATTTTTTTATAATACATAAGCTAATGGAATTCATTTCAAAGTCAATATGCTCCTATACAAACTCGTAGTACGACTCATCATTACACTGATAATTTCTCTCGAATACGGAGGACTCTGCTTGATACAACTGCAAAGTTTAATAGTCGAGATGATAAAGCATTGGAAGAAATTAAAAGATACGAAGATTTTACGACAATTGGTATTTTGTTTTAATTTTTTCTCATAAAAATAGTTAATTGTGATAATTGTAATTGATGAATTTTATTTATTACTATAGATTGGGTTCAAGATGCTATCTATGAGCGATCGAGAATGAATGCATTACGAAGTGCTGCAATAGAAAATAGGTTTTCATGGAATACTTGGTTTCGTCTTTCTTACGAATCAAGTCAAGCTTGGATCGTCGTGTCAATAGTTGGTTTGTATCTTTATTTTAGTTTTATTTATTTTATAATTTAATTTTATTAATCATTATTTTCCTTGTTATTTAGGTGCAATTATCGGGTTTAATGCGGCATTAACTGACATTATCACAGAATGGCTTTCAGATTTAAAATTTGGTTATTGCAAGAATTCTTGGTGGTTAAATCAAAAGTTTTGTTGTTGGGAGATTGAGAGGCCAGGTTAGAATCCCTTTTGAGTACAGTTTTAAATTATTTTTTATTATACTACTTAATGATGTGAGATGGCATTTTGATTTTTTTCCAAAAGATGGTTCATGTGATAATTGGCAAAATTGGACAAACATCTATATTATAAATTGGTTCTTTTATGTATTAGTCTCGGTAATGTTTTTCAAATATCTTATCATAACTATTTTTATTCATCAGAATCATAATCTTTTTTTTTTTATTTCTTTTTTAACAAGGCGCTTTTTGCAGCTATTTGCGCTTATCTGATACGTTCTTTAGCTCCTTATGGGGCAGGTTCCGGTATTTCTGAAATAAAATGTATTTTAGCTGGGTTCATCATGAAAGGATTTTTGGGTGGTCGTACTTTACTGCTGAAAAGTGTGAGCTTGGTAAGTTATTTCCTTTATCGTGTAAAAGCTATAGTTTCTTTATTTTACTCTTTGGATTCTACGGTACATGTACGATTATATATTCATTTATGTGTCTACAATATTAGCCTTTGGCAATTGGGTCAGGACTAAGTATCGGAAAAGAAGGTCCCGCGGTGCATACTGCCGCTTGTGTTGGAAATGTTGTTTCAAAAATGTTTGGAAAATATACCAGAAACAAAGGTATGTTATGTATTTATTGATAATATTTTTAGTATAAAAGAGTGATCGTAATATTTTTTTCCAATGATAGCCAAAATGCGTGAAATTTTGTCCGCCTCATGCGCGGCTGGTGTTGCTGTCGCTTTTGGTTCTCCGATTGGTGGTGTCTTGTTTTCATTCGAAGTAAGAAAAAATTTATACATTTTGAATATTTTATTATCAAATGGTAACATTATCTATCATGATTCTAGGAAATGAGCTCAAATTTTCCTATGAAAACTATGTGGCGTAGCTTTTTTTGTGCTTTAGTAGCAACTGCTGTTTTACAGGCCATGAATCCTTTTAGAACTGGAAAACTTGTCATGTTTCAAGTCACTTTTGATAGAGAATGGCATTATTTTGAAATTTTCTTTTTTGCAATATTGGGTGCATTTGGAGTAAGTGATATCTTTTACTTAAAATTATACTGTATTACTTAAAACTATATAGTTATATTTCTTAAAACTACATAGATTACTTAAAATCACATGAATATATTGCTTAAAACTATATAGATTATATTACTTAAAGCTATACTGATATATTATTAACTCTATCTGTATTTATATAATTGTATAGGGTTTATACGGCACATTAGTCACAAGATTCAATATTAAGGTTCAATATTTTAGGAAAAAGTACTTAAAAGATTATGCAGTGACTGAAGCAGTTATACTTGCTGTAATTACAGCAATATTCGGTTATCTTAATATATTTATGAAATTAGACATGACTGAAGCTTTGGGAATCCTTTTTGAGGAATGTGAAGGGAAGAAACATTATGATTATGAAGGTCTTTGCAAGTAGGTTTGACCCCTAGGTTATTTTCACTTGAAAATTTTGTGGTAGAGGGCCTATCCATTTCACTTGTAAATGTTTCTTTATTCTCGTAAATATTGTTATAATGTGGCCTTCCTTTCTTATTTAAAGAAACTCGGATTTTTCGAAAGGATCAGAAATTGTTAGAATGATGGTGCTATTATTTATAGCAACCATTCTTCGAACTTTTTTCATTATAATATCTTATGGAGCAAAAGTACATAATGTCAAATCTCATTTAAGAGTCATATTATGTATAATTTATCTTCACTAATTAAAACTACACAACCGGTTTAGGTTCCTGCCGGAATATTTATTCCTTCAATGGCCGTAGGTGCTACTTTTGGAAGATTTTTTGGTCTTTTATTGAAATCTATTCATGCGTAAGTCTTATTTAAATGCCTTTTATTATACGATTTTGCAATATATTGAGCTTGCATATTTATCCAAATATTTGATAGTGCATATCCTACATTTCCAATGTTTGCATATTGTAAACCGGATGTGCCAGTAAGTAATAATGCCTATGTTTTTTATCCATTATCTTCATATTAATTATTAAATTTTATTATTACCTAGTGCGTGACACCCGGAATGTATGCATTTTTGGGTGCTGCTGCTGCTTTAGGGTATGTAATTATGTAGTAACCTTTATATCAACATGTTAATATGTCAATAGTTCCAATATCCTATATTTACATGCATAATATTTCTGTTTTGTTATCGTTATCGTCACATAATTTTACATAGCGGTGTTATGCAACTTACAGGTAGATATAATAAAAAGTTATATTTTGCTTTAAAAATCACTAATAATAAAAAACGTAGGCATTATTACTTACTGGCACATCCGGTTTACAATATGCAAACATTGGAAATGTAGGATATGCAC